GATATTTGCAGTAGAAACTAAATAAAAATACTTGTTAATATTTTGTGTTTTTGCCGTGTGGGTGATTATTCCATCTACTGGTTCACACAGAGTCGCAGAATCAGAAATGGACATGCTGTTTTAACGTACAGTACTCCAGTGTGAGAAAACATTTCATTTATTTGTCAGATATCCAGAGAACTCTTCCTCCTCCTCCTCTTCTTCCTCCTCGTCTATCCAGGACTCTGTGCAGCTGCCATCTTGTCCCGACTCTGAAGGACGCATCCCATCATCCCGTTTGCTTTCAGAGTCCATCTGGCTCAGAGGTTTCAGGGTGTAAGTCCTCAGGAAGTCCATGGAAGAGCTTCCAGAGTCCTGATCCTCCTCTACCTCGTCTTCATCACAAGCAGCTATTGAGGCGAGGGTGACGGAGAACAGGTTGACGTCTCCAGAGAACTCCAGAGTCTCCATTTTGACTTCCTCCTGCTGAGTTGTGGAGTCCTCCATTCCAGATTGATCTTTATCATAAATAAAAAGAGTTTCTGCTTTGGCCTCATACTGGTTGGACTCCACCTCCATGAAGTCACCCTTCATCACGTCGACTTTCCCACTGCTGTCAGCAGAACCGCCGCCTGTGGAAAGTTCTCCTTTTCTGTTCATGTACAGCTTCACTGCAGCCTCCTCATCGCCATCTTCGTCCTCAGAGCTGGCGTCCCCGGAGGGAGACGGAGACATCGCCGGGCAGTTTCTGGTTTTTACCGTTTGGGGGATGATGGTGACCCGGTTGATGTCCGTGGTGCTCAGGGTTAGGACGTAGCTGTGCCTCAAAACGACCTGAGGAAGAGGAAATGAGAAGGCAGAAACAGGAACTGTAACTGGAAACAAACTGTGGTTAGAGAGCTGCAAGGGTCAGAAGTATGATAGCAAATTGGGGCCAAAATAGATGGAAAAAAGGAATAAATTTCCATCAAAAAACTCAGAAATTTTGAGAAAACTCAGACATTTTCTAGAAAAAAAGTTTAAAAAGTCAAAAATTTGCTAAAAAATTAATTTGAATTTTTGAGAACAAACTCAGAAATAATAATAAAAAAAAGAAATTGGAAAATTCAGAATTTTCCAATTTCTTTTTTGGCCTTAATATTTCTGAGATTAATCTCAGAAATATTGTAGAAAAAGAGACTTCAGACTTCTGAAAAGGCAAGGATTTGCTAAAACAACTACAGAAAACTTGGAAATTTCTGAGTTTGAAAAGTTGAAAATTTAATGTGAAAAAAATTCACATTAATCTCAGAAGTCTTCTTGAATTTTTTATTTTATTTCTGGGTTTCGAAAGTTGTTAATGTGAATATCAATAATGTCAATGTCAATAAGAATATTGACAGATGAATCATTATCTCACCATGAGGTTTGCCGGCATTTTCTTTAGTTTGCACAGGAATCCGGTGTAGCAGAGGCATAAAATTCCCATCACCAGGGCAATCAGAGAAGAAATCAAAACAGCTGTAACGACGACTAAAACCAACAGTCCTGAAAACAATCATGGAATGACGAGGAATTCAGTCAGACTGGAAATGCTGGATCTGCCCTCTGACATCACACTGGGATTTACTGTCTTTAAATGTCTATTTTTAAACTCAGAGGGCTGGAACTTACACTGCAAAAATACAAAATCTTATCACCTATTTTTCTAGTTTCTAGTGCAAATATCTTAGAATTCTTGAAATGAAACAAAACTAAGTTATAAGTAACTTTTCAGCAAGATATAGCAAGATAATCAATAATTGCTTTGTAATGATGAAAATGTGTAAGTTCCTTGGGCAGATTATTTCCCTTAAAACGAGACTTTTTGCCATGTTATAAGTGAAATAATTTGCCAATGGAACTAGAACTTTTTCATCCATATTCAATAATTATTTACTTAAAATAAGTAAAAGTCTGAAAAGTCCATTGTAAGTTAGTTTTGTCATATTTCAAGTGTATTAAATTATTTTCAGTAGAAAGTTTACAAAAAAAATATGGTTTTGCAGTGTATGTTGAAGAACTGTTTCTACTTTATAGTGTTATTACAGCATTTTCACTGTAAAAAACAAAACATTATAGCAACTATTTTCGGTCTGGTTTTCTCTTCAAATATATTTGTACACCTTAAATGAGACAAAACTAACTTACAAGTAACTTTCCAGCAAAGTCTGAGAGCTTGTTTTAAATCAATAATTCCTTAATATTGATTAAATAGTGCTAGTTCCATTGGCAGATTGTTTTCACTTATAAACAGAAAAAATGACTTAATACTAATCTGCAAGGGAATTAGCAATTTTTTCATAAATATTATTGATTTAAAACAAGCTCATATATTTTGCTGAAAAGTTTCTTGTAAGTTAGTACACCTTTAATAAGACAAAACTAAGATATTTGCAGTAGAAACTAAACCAAAATGACTTAAGATTTTGTGTTTTTGCAGTGTACTGTGCTTCATTGAACAGAATCTGTTGTGGCGGTCCAGCTCACCGTAATCTGGTTCTGAAATGCTGGCGAAGGTGCAGTTCCACTCAGACGGCTGCGTGTTTTCGTTCACTCGGGCCTTGGGAAGCACCTGTATGCAATACTCCACATCTTTCTCCAGGTTGCTGAGTTTGAAGCTCCTATTATAAATTTCCAGCTCCTGAAAATAATTGAGACATAAATCCACAAGATTTTTCTGTGTTCATCACAGCTGAGTCATGTTTTCTTTAAACTTGATTATGAATCGGAGCAGTTGAACAGATCCGTCCAGACTTGACCGAAAGGTTTGGGAGTGAATCATGTTTCCTTTTTCTCCGAGCCTCATTTTAGCCCAGACAGTTCAAATGATGTGGAGCGATTAGATTCCAATTTATTCAATACATCGTTCCCACAAATCTGAACGGCGCCATCTTGGTAGGCAAATGCAGAAAGCATAGTGGCCCCATGGCCAACAAGAAGAAAATATGTGGATACTATTGACCAATGTGTGAGAGGAATATATATCTGACAAGTAGCTGATAAAGACTGAAACATGTTAGGTGAATCAGGTAAAAGCATAAGAACAGCATCCTCCTTTCCTACAAAGATAAAATCCGTAGTTTACAGTGTTGGAAGATATTTTTAACTAATCTTTGAATGGAGTTTTAGCTGTAAAGTAAAGCCTAAAAAAGAAAAAAGAAAATCCTGCACAAAAGAGAAAGTAGAACAGAGATTGCACACAGGAGGAGATCAGAAGGAAATATTTGCTGTATATAAGAGAAATTTGATATAAGTATTTTACCTGAATTTCTCCATCATTTCCTTTCCTCCACAGGACTGTGAAGCTGAAATCATAGTGTATAGCCTTTGTGTATCGACCTAAATCAGGCATCGAAATGTTTCCCTGGATGCACGTCCCCCATCTGGCCACCGAGAGCAGCGGAGGACCAATCACAGCTTTTCACACAAGAACGAAATAAAAGTTAGTTTTATACAACACTATACGAGGGCCATTGCAGACAAAAACCAGGGAGAACATTTATGGCAAAAAAAAAAATAAAATCTGAAATATTGAGATTAATTTCAGCAATTTCCTTAAATTTCTTTTTTTTTAATTTCTGAGTTAAAAAGCTGAAACATTTCTAGAAAAAAAAAACGCAGAACCTTTAAAAAACAAACAAACATTGAAATTTCTGAAATTCTAAAGTCGAAAATTAGCTAGAATAGATTCAGAAATTTTGAAATTATAACTGAAGGCTATGAGTTTAAAAAGTTTAAACTTTGCTGAAAAAAACTCAAATTTTCAAGAATAGATTCAGAATTTTAGAAATTATAACTGAAGGCTATGAGTTTAAAAAGTTTAAACTTTGCTGAAAAAACTCACATTTTCTAGAATAAAAACTTGGAAACTTCTGGTTTTGTGAAGTTGAAAATTGACTATATAAAAATCAGAAATTTAGATTTCAGAAATTTTCTTGAAAAAAATCTGAAATTTCAGAGTTACAAAAGACAAAAATGTTGTCTTTTGTAAATTTAAAAAACATTTAAATTTATGAGTTTGTAAAGTCATAAATTTCCTAAAATAAACTCAGAAATTGAGATTAATGACATATTTCTTTAAAAAATAAAACTTGGAAATTTCTGAGTTTCAAAAGTCCCCAGCTTTTGAATTTGGAAATCTTTTGACCTTCTAAAGTAAAACAAATTCAACTTTCAGCTAAAATTGACAGATTTACTCCTTTTTTCCTTCAGCTCTGCTTCATTAGACATTTATGTATGAAGGCTTTTGTCATCTATTAAAACACAAAAGTCAAACGGAAACCGTTCCCTGTGGTTCAGTCTTCACCGATCAGTAGTGAAACAAATTTGGGCGACCTGAGCCATCCTTACATATTTTACATATTTTAGCATAGAGGAATATTAGAACCTTTATGAGGCTCAGAGTTCATATGTAGATGTTGACTTACTGTCTGCTACAGGGTGAAAGGTGATTGTAGAGCGAGGAGACGTTGTGCTGTTGTAGAAAGCCTCGACAGCAATGACGTGGTTCTTCTCGGGGTTCTTCAGATTCAGCTCGCAGGATGTTGAGTTTACTGGATTACCCTTCATTTCACGTCTGCGCAGCAAAAGAAACAGCTGAACAGATACTCTCACATCAGTAGAGGGACTTTAGCGATGCTTTTGACTTGTTCTTTTTCCAGTCTGGTGCGATTATTCAGCAACAGGAATTAATTTAAAAGCAGGACGTGGCTGCACATGTTTTAATGTTTTTCGGCATTTCAGCTGCCTGTGATACCTTGGACCACAGGACTTTTCTGTCCCCACTTGGCTCGGCATCAAAGGAACAGTTTTTTATTTTGGGTTCTTCTATGGCTTTTCTCACTTGTGGCATCCCTCAATTACTTTATAAACCTTACTACTGTTAGCATGTAGCACTAAAAGTAGTGGGTATTCTGATCCACTATTTTGCTGTTGATATTCAGATCTAGTTGCCAATTGAGCAACATAATCACTCTTGAATTGTCTGAATTATATTAAAACTGGGTAGAAAAGGAAATGACAATACTGACCCTTTGCTGTCAGGAATATGTTTTACTTTAAATTATGCTGACTGCTGTGAAATCCTTTTTTTTCCGATTAAGAGAAATTCCCAGGATGACGTCAGATCTTCCAACCAAAGATCTTGAAAAGTGATTCATGCTGTCATTAACTCTCGGTTGGATTCTTGTAATTCGTCGTATGTTGGGTTAGATAAATCATCTCTGCATCGCCTACACACCAACCAAGCTACTAAAAGTATCTGGTTCTGGCTTCCTATTTGTTAAGCATTGATTTTAAGATTTTATTGCTCAATTTAAAGGCCTTATATTCCTGTGACATTAACATCCACACTCCAGTAAGAAAGAGCACCAATCAGTTTTTCTCCTTTGAGACTTTTAAATCTTTGCTTGCTATAATCACAGTTTATGGTGATTAGAAATTAGCATTTTGTTTAAACTTTATTTTAAAATATAGATTTCAGTAGTTTCATGCAATATTTGAATCTTTGTGGTTCCTGAGTTGTTTTTGATCACTTTAATAAATGTTTCTTATCTGAGGGGGAGAATTTGGGTCACATGCTTAAAATAAGATCCTCATGTGATGATTTAGAGGTTGATTTGGAAACAGGGTGAAGTTTAGGGAACTGATTCTACTGTAAAGTTAAACCAGCAGCAAAACATCCGGATCAAATCATATCTGATTATTTCCAATTCCAGTGATAACATTTCTTATCATGGTAAAAATAATGATTTATTGTTATTTCAATAAATTCCAAAGTTAAGAAAACCACCAAACTATCACTAACGTTCGGATTCTTGCGTTTTAATCTCTGTTCTTTATGTGGCTGATGAAAGAAGTGTATTACAAATTAATGTTTTTTAAGAGCAGTATTTGTATTTGTGAGGCTATAATTGCTGTGGAGCATAGGCCTATTAGACTAAACAATAAATCAAATAGCTACATTATTAATTAAAATGATTTTCATAATTTCCAGTTGGACAACAATAGTTAAAGAGATGCTCCCCTTTAAGAGTGAAAAGCCAACATTTTGAAAAACACTGCAAACATTTGACACCATGTATGAAGTAGTTAGTTTGCAGTAGCTGCACCTTTTGCCTGTTTTCCCTGTCTAAGCTGAGTGATGACTACTTTTCAAGTGCAATTTTGGTTATTTTGGATATTAAAAATGTTTTCCGGTATTAAATATTCTTTTGAAATTAAAGTTTTTTCATCTTTTAGTGTGTTCTTGCATTAATATCCCATTACTATTATTATTATCATAGTTGAAAATTATCTTAGAATGACAATATTAGTTTTTATGTTACAATAATTTCTGCACAATTTATCCTCCAGCAAAATTTGCAATCATGACAGGCTAATGACGCACACCTGCAACCATAGAGTATTACATAGTTCTTACATAGTTCTTATCACTTTTTATCATCATCACAATAATATTAATTACAGTTTTTTACTTATTTCAGTTAACAAAAATGTCTTCTCAATTTCAGTTTTCGTTATTTCTAGGTAACTATGACACAAACAGCTGTTGAATACAGAAAATGCCATTTTCTGCCATTGTTATGGCGCCCCCTCTAGCGCAGCGCCCCTTTGCGTCGCATATAGAGCACATACTTTTTTGCGCCACGACCACACAGATATTGTTTTAAAATATGGCCAACTCCCAGCTCCATTTATTTCCTTGCAGGGCAGGATAGTATTTAAAACATCTGGAAACAGTAAAATAATGCAGAAATTCACATTTTTAGTGATCAGTTAGAGATGATGGAGAACAAAAAACCGTTAAAAATGCCACATTCATCACGATTTCCATGTAAAAATGAATCACATTGTTCAGCTAGACGCGAAGCCTGAGAGGGCGAGGCGACCTGAAACCGAAACCCCATCCGGGTGGCGTTTTCAGAGAGCAGCGGGGCTCTCTGCGGTGGCAGCAGCCCAGCGAGGCGCTGCAGGGATGGAAACAGCGCTCACTGCAGGAGGGACGCCTCGGAGGGAGCCAGAAACCAACCGCCATGTGTCAGATGTTCCATCAAAGGTTCTCCAGTCAACCGCATATTTACAGACACACTAGGCTCTGAGTGAAAACGTGACCGGATTAAAAGGTCGCGGTCGACCGTGGAGGCAGAAAAACTCTCAGAAACAGGCACGATTGGTTAGTTTCTGAAGTGAATGCAGGGACAAAGCAGGCGTTTTTCACTATAGCTTAGTTTTATTTTATTGTAACGTTTTGATTGTCTAGGTTTTTAAGTGTGTTTGCTAGTTTTTATTAGTTATAGACACGGACGTGGCATGTTATTGTTTACGTCCGGGAATTTCGCGCATGCGCACAATGCTGCAGTCTGTTACCGTAGAATAATTCCGCTTACAAAATGAAACCCGGATATTTCGTATTATTAATTTAGTGCAACAGCAATGGAGAAAATAACGCAGAATAACCTTTTAAAAACAACTTAAAACCACTCATATTCATTTTTTTCTCCACGCCACGCACAGACCCGTTGCCATGGATTGATAAATTCAAGCTAGCATAATTAGCTGACCTACTTCCGTGACCCTCACTATTTTTTTAATTAAAATTTTTCTCTGCCCTGTGAAATGTGCTTGTTGTATTGTATTGGAAATATTAGTTTAATGATGCTAGTTTTAATGTTGTTTAACTTTAGCGCAAGTTGAAATATTAGATTGATCATGATTGTTTTGAGTCGGCCTCAATTTAGACTCATGATTTAATCAATATATAACTTAATCAGTAGAGGAGTTTTCTTAGATATAATGATCACGGTTTGATTAAAATTAGTCTATGCTGTTGAGTTTTTTTTAATATTAGATCACATTCTTAAGAAATTTACGTCATATATTTCTCTGAAAATTCTCCTAGTTCATTACAGCCAAAGTAGAAAACTAATAAGAAAATATTGACTGCCATAGATGTTTTAGTAATGAAGCTGCTTATGTCTGTTTTATACGAGTTTGAAGATATTATATGAAGCGTTTACTAATTTTTCCAATAAAAATCTGCTGTTTGGTGCCCTGGGCCAGAGGAGCGGTCAGGAGAGCTCTGTGCGGTTCAGGAACCAGTTTGAGGCAGTTTGAAATGAGAAACACAGATAACTGATCAACTTTGGTCCCGTTTTCTATGAGTAAAATGTTTCCCTATGAAAAGAACACATCTATTGTTCGTACCCTGGGAAAGTACGCAGGGAGGATAGCTTGGACAGCAATGAATTCATCCCTTGACCTTGGTGCCACCTGCATGGTCTGTGGCGTACAAAGACCATGCAGGTGATCTGTTTGAGATCACCTCTAAACGGTATGTTAGACGCATCAGACAGTAGAAACACGCCTTGATATAAAAGTAATTGAGCTAAAACAGCTGGTCAGGTCACTGGGGTGGAACTGGAACAGCGCTCTCCAAAGTCGCGTCTTCGTATTTTGCATTTTTTCTCAGGTAATTGATGTTTCCTTTCTGACTTTGGTATCTGATGACCATGTTGAGCTGTTTGTGTGATTTTATGCATTTGATTGTTTGAATAAACTGGCTGATTGTGAAGTTGAATGTGACTGTATCAACAGACCTGGGGAGACGAGACTACAACGAGCAGGTAGAAAATATCTCGTTCTCTACAGTTGATAAGTTGTAGCAAAGTACTGTGCCCCTTTTTCTTTTACATCTCATACATTTAAGATTTTGAAAGCTAAAATATTAGCTTAGCTAGAGGGCGTGACTTTACGTTGCAACAAGTAATGTTTCAATTTCCCCTGCACTTTGGTTAATTTTTAGATGCAGAAGTATTTTATTACTATTTATTATTGTGATAGTGTATTGGATAATGAGTACTCAACAGAAGATACCATTTTTAAAAAATTATTAAATTATTGTTGAACATTTAACTGACTGGTGTTTAATCCAAACTTTTCCTGCGCCATTTTGTGGACTAGCAGGTGGAGAATGGAGTACCGTAATTTACCGACAGCTGGCGTAAACTGCTTGTGAGGGGAAAAAAATTTTCATTAGTTTGAAAGACTAATAAATAAATTCATAAACACACAAACAAAAGACATTACATGTGTAATTTCAGTCTGTTTTAGTTACATAAATGCACAATATCAGTTACTTAGAGTTTTTTCCTTTACTTATCACATTAAGCTTTTATTTCAATTTCTGTTATTTTGTTAGTTTTATTCAACTATAATAACGATGGTGCACACAAATAGCTCTTACACACAGAAAATGCCAACTACTAGAATTCATTTTTCTACCATTGTTATGGCGCCCCCCATCACACGGCGCCCATACAGAGCGCCACTGCTCACATATTGAAAATACACACAAAAACATCCATTTTATACTGCTGAACAGTGGGGAATATCGTCTATGTTCTAAAAAAAAGGACCCAAATATTGGGAAATGTGTAAGATGTGGTCGTCCTGGAAACCTGACAATTTGAACTGCATACCACAAACACAAATATGGCAGCTTTAAATCAAGCAGAAAACATCTGCTCATGTCTCACTTCTTCATTCCCTTCATAAAAGAGGAACAAAATGTCCTGAAGGTTTAATTTAAAGCAACGTGTGGAAACTGGATGCCTCAGCTTTATTTTGCTTGATAAAAATCAGAGTTCAAACGCAGCGTAAACATGTTTGTGGTGCTGATTATGGCAGATAAAGCAACAGAGGGTAAAACCAGATCAAAAAGCCAAGTGAGATTACGGAAAACTGACTCACCACAGTTTATCAGTGAAAATTTGAGTTTTTAAAGGAAATTAAATGGTAAACCAATTAAGCTGAAGCTGGAGTTATGTAGCTGTCAATTAACCACAATAAAAAATCTGCAAAATGTGCCAATTTTTTAATCAGTCATCAGAACAATAAATCAATTAATCGTCAGAATAAACGATTAATCGTCAGAATAAACAATTAATCGTCAGAATAAACAATTAATTGTCAGAATAAACAATTAAGCATCAGACTAAATTGATAGATTAATCAACAACTAATATAATTGTTAGCTGCAGCTTCATTTGAACTTTTAAAATAGGCAGTTGTGAGCCTTTCAAGGTTTTAAGTATTCACAAATTTCAGCTGTTTGTGTTTTTCGGTGGTTGTGGTCATTAATCCCCACTGATACCGGGGTTCACTGTAACATGAAAATGATTGTTCAGTTAAATTTTCTGCACTTTTAAACCATGAAGGGAAAAGTAAAGGGACACAAACACTACAAACCCAGAGAGTCTTCAGCTTCTTTAAGGAAATCTGGTAAAGGTGCAATGAACAGAGATGGAAGAACATGCAAAAACAACATGCAAATAATGAGAGATGAAAGTACAGCTTTGTTTTTTATTTAAAGTGTGCCACAGAAGTGAAAGACTGAGGGCAGAAAAAGAATCAGCAGCTTTCAACAGCACATAAACAGCTCCCAAAATGCTGCCGTTTTTAGATATAAATATATTAAAAATGTGAAAATATTAGGGAAACTTTGTCAAAATAAGAATAAATTTACACAGATTTAATAATTTTATCATTTTTAAAATCTTTCAGAAGGTTAGGATAGGTCACTTTAAAACCAAATAAGCCGCTGCTGGCCATGACCCCCAACTCAGCGATTTCATTTGGACTAGAAAATATCTATAAATAGATGCATAATTACACAACCATTCATCTTTGAAAAGCAGAAGTAGAGCCTCCTTCACAACCAACAAGAATACAGCAAGTGGTTTCTGGTTGGTGAGTCAACAAGAAGACACTTTTCTTTTCCAGAAGCCATTGTACCGCGGTAATAAAACCAGCTACACGAAAGTGCTGGAGCTCCTCTTGGGTTGCTAGGTAACGGGCTAGGCTTCACTGTGGTTAACGGGCAGTGCCTGCTGATTTGTGATGCTACATTCCAGAGAGTTTTGAAACGGCTCACTTTCCAGACACCAAAAGACATGAACTTATTGACAAAAATCGTCTTCGTGTTTCTTTTTTAAAATGATTTGGCTGTTTTTAGAAACAGTATAAATGGAAATATAAAAACGTGCAGAATGTAAATTTCGAATTATACATTCCCTTTAAAAGACGAGCAGATGTTCTCAGAATCCTTGTATTCTTGAATCAGCAACAGTTTCTTTCACATGCAGCAAACTGCTTGATGCTAATATTGCGGCTAAAAGAACAGCTAATGGATCATGAAGAACTTAAAGCTTTAAGAGTTTTTGCATAAACTATCAGAATCGACTTTATTGGCCACGTTTGTGCAAACTAACAAGGAATTTGACTTCAGTGCCACTTTCTCTCAATGTACGGATGTTTTTAAGATAAATATATAAAAATATATGGGATAACATTTTTCTATTTTTGTGAAAATATTTGAATATACATCATTTCACAAAGAAGATTACAACCAGATTGAATCAGTGCAAATATAGGAGGTAAAAACAGCTGTCCAAGCCTGGGTTGCTAGGCGATGAGGGGGCGGAACTCTGCCGGGGTTGCTAGGTAACGGGGTGGGCACAGCTGCGAATAACGAAGGAATGCGACAGGAGGTTTTACGGTTAGGACCAGATATAAAGTCCCAAACCACCTCCTTAAATGAAGAGCTCAGTGTTTCCTTACAGGAATAATCTGCAGCTTTGTTATTTTTATGTTTATTTTAATCACAACAGCGCCAGTAAAGCTGAAGAGGCAGGGGATTTATTTTGTGGGCGACTCTGGCAAGAGGCGCGACTCGAAGCGTCTGAGCTGGTTCTTCTTCATTTCACAGGAGCTCAGACGTCTGCGAGGTTTCTCACAGAAAGAGGAAATCTGTCCGTTTGTGAAAAAGCATCAGGCAGCAGTGGAAACTCCCTCTGAAACACCGGGGGGAGTTTAGAATAATGAAGAAAAAAAAAAAACCAGCTTTAATTTGACGCATGGTTCTGTTTCTGTGGAACTACGATGGGTTAAACTTCGAGGTTGGTGAAATGTCACGTAGTGTTTTACTTTATGCTCTGAGAGGAAACAAGTCAGCACTGAGATGTTTCCTGTAGCAAAGAAAAAATGTTGGGGAAAAAACAAACTTCCATCTGTGTTTTATCTTAACAAGACAGAAAATATCATTAAACATGCAAATCCTATAATTTTCTGCAGTCATAACAAAATAATCAAAATAAACAATCACCAAGTTTTCCCTAAGAACGGATCAATATCTAGGAATAAATGCAGCAACAAGCCATGACAGAACCTCTACCATGTTTAAGTTACATAAACAGAACAGGCTTGCAACTAATGAGTATATTAGAAACAGATTAATCGATTATTCTGATGATTAATCGGATACAGAAATGGCAAATTCTTCAGAATTTTCATACAATATTAGAGATGCAATAAAAGATACAAATAAACAGTTCAATTCCTTTTTCAATTAAGAAAACAAACATTTTATTGCCTAAAATGCAGTAACACAGCATTCCTTTTTGTAGATTTGAACTGGGTGAAGCTAAAGCATATTTATACAGAAGGGGTTTTTATATATTAAATGGAAAATGTATGTATTTTTGTGCAGTTTTTGCTTAATTAAAACTCTGGACATGTTGGGATTGTTCAGTAAATATCCTTTTTTTAATCAGAATATATCAGTTACTGATTAATCGATTACTAAATTAGTTGATGATTATTTCAATAAACGATTAATCCTGACTAATCGTTTCACCCATAAAACAGAATTTTTTTTTAATTCTGAAATTTCTTTCTCCTGCGGAAGAGGACTGGGGCCACTGGAAAAAAACTGAATTATTACTTTATTCTAAGAATTCTGACTTTTTCTCCTCAGAATTTTAACTTTTTATGTAAAATTTTGACTTTTTTTTTGCAGAATTCAGACATTTTCCCCCTCAGCATTCTGACGTTTGGTAGAATCTGACCTTTTTTTGTTTTGTTTTGTTTTTGCAAAATTTTGACTTGTTCCTCAGAATTTAGAATTTTTTTTGCAGATTTCCAATTTTTTTCACAGAATTCAGATTTTTTTTCCACATAATTCTGACTTTTTTCTAAATATTCTGACTTTTTGTAGAATTTGACTTTTTTCAGAATTCTGAATTTTGTTTCTCATAAATTAGACTTTTTTTTGGTAAAATTCTGACTTTTTTGCAAAATTTGAACTTTTTTCACATAATTCCAACTTTTTTCCGCAAAATTCAGTTTTTTCAGTATTCTGACTTTTTTTTCTTTCAGAATTTTGACTTCAATCTTCTGTGATCAAAAATCTGAATTCCTTTTTTTCAGTGGCTCTAATTGTCTTCCATACTTTCTGCATTCTTGATTTCAGAACAGAGCGGTACTCCAGTATGTTTTGGATATAAATTTGTTGTTGCTAAAGCAAACGGGAGCAAACCAGTCTCACCAGATGTTGGGGAGGAAATGACATTTCAAAAAACACTTCCAGAGATTACGGGAAAATCTGACTATGAGGAAAGTGGGATTAATTACCTGTTCGTATATATCCGGAACTGCGTCCCTGGGGGGCTGCCAGGTCCCGGATCCCAGCGCAGGACATGTTTGAAGTTCAGAGACTTAATCCTGAGGTTGACCGGTGCCGGAAGGGACGCGACAGCTGCAGAGAACCGCAGAGACACACCTGAGTAAAGGTAACAAGAAGAGCAAATCCACCTGGATCACGCACTTTCCTCACCTGAAGGGAGCTGAAGAATCAGGAAGATTAGAGGAAATGGGTTCATTCTTCAGGGATCCGATCATCAGAAAAAGTTCACAAATAAAGCCGACAGCTGATTTCACTATCACATCCTGAGGATTAAAACGGTCCGAAAGTTCGCAGAGACTCTAATCCGTCCTCATGTTTACTGGAGAACCGCTTCCCAGTTAAAAACAGAACCAAGAGTGAAATATAGACTTAAACTGGGAACGACTCACGGAGGTCATGTGTTCAAACGGGGCGAGTCATCACAGCTCAGAAAGAAAAACGAAATCTTGTTCAATAACAACAGCCGCTCCTGAATGACGAACACATGAGCTGTCCAATGCCATTTACACGCCTGCTTCCGGCCCGCCTTCAAAATAAAAGCTTGTTTCAGACGTGAAAGGTTACATCAGCCTTCAGTATGCTCTCATAAGCTTTAAAAAAACGTCAAATTTTTTAAGTCAATAAATGCATTTTTTATTTTTGTAGTTTATTTGTGCTGCACAGAAATGTAGGATAGTGTGTTAGACCCATAAAAAAGACTAAATAATAAACAAAATCAGAACTTTTCCTGAATAAAAGGTGAAAATTTGCTACAAAAAAATTCAAAAACATATTGATCTATCTCAAAACCCTTTGACAAAATTCTGTGTTTGAAAAGTTGATTTTGTTTTACTTTTGAAACTCAGAAATTTCAAAGTTTTCACTAGAATTTTTTTTAGATTAGTCTTAAAGTTTTAGAGTTACTAGAAAATTCTGAGAAATTTCTGAGATTTTTTTTATAGAAAATCTTTAACTTTTCAAACTCAGAAATTTTCTTTAACTTTCTAGAAAATTTCTGAGATTAACCTCAAAATGTCAGATTTTGTTTGTTTTTTTTGTGTGGAAATTTACTTTTTTTTAAAAAAAAAAATCTGAAGCGGTCTTAATACGCTGTCATAGAAATGTAATGTTTTTGCTCCTAAAGGCAATACAAGGATTTCTTTTAAATTAGGAGAATAAAGTTATGACAAAAGTCACATCATCAGGTTAAAGTCGTAAAATTACAAGTAAAAAGTTTTTTTTTTTTTAATTCGAGTTAAGCTTTGATAAAGTTAGCCAGATCTGATATGCTGTTGCTCACAATCGTTCACTCAAGTTTGAAATGATTCAAAGTTATTATCTCCAATTGATCATAATTTGATGCTGACATTTTAAAAATAGTAATTATTTCCTTAATTTAAAAACCGGACCCGAAGCCTCTAAGAGCTTCTCATTTTACTGTTCTAATTTACAACATTACTTCTTCTTTTTGCTAGTATACAACCGTATTCTGGTAATTTTATGACTTAGTTCTCCTAATTTTATCAGGTGTACAAACTTAAGGCCTGTGGGCCAAATCCGGTCTGCCAAAACTATTTCGGGGCCACAGAAATATAACTTCAAAATTAAAGTTATTTGCTTAAATATTATTTTATCAGTCAAATCAAATCTGTTTTTATTTGCATAGCTAAATTACATCTGGAAAAAAGATGAATAATAATTTTTAGTTATGAAAAGTTTGGATGTTTCTTTATTATTCCAAAGGTTTTGTGGCCATAATCAGGTTTGATATAACAGCTTTGACTCTTTGGCTCATAAAGTTTAATGACTCGTCACACGAAGTGTTAAATATTAACCGACGCCATAAACTTTATCATTCACAGCCAATAATTTAAATAATTTTACATAAGATATGAACTGAAAATGCAAAGCATAAAATCCAACAACACAAAACAGGAATAATTAAAATGGAAAACAGAAATGTATTGATGATCATTTTATTGTTATAACTGGTCCTTAAGAATCTGCTTCGGTTTAATTTCACTTGTGTTTTTTTTCCCTATGAACATATCTAAAATGTAAAATTTTGGTCACAAAAGATATGTTTCATTAAAAGGAGATTTTAATTTGTCTGTAATAATTTTCAAGGAGATAAAATTATTTAAATAAGAAAAAAAGAATGAAATATATGCAAATATTTGTAACATGTAATAAAAGTTCAAAAAACAAACACAAAAATGAAAGTGAATATTTACTTTTTTTTCTTATTATTCTTTCCAGTGATTGTTGTTATTTTAACACGTGGTTTCCTTTTGAGGTCGGGACTGATTATGTTTCTTCATTTTTTTAACCTTTTGCTGCCCCCTTGTGGCGCCACCCGTCCACTGCAGGATTTAATTTTTTAATGCTGGTGCGCCCCCTGCTGTTCATGACGGGAGTGAAAAGTTTATTTTCCAAGATTGAAATCGTAGAAAAAGAACAGTGTTTGAACTTTATTAGAAAATCTGGAATCAATACATATTTTCAATTTATTTTGGTTTTAACAGGACTGCTTTCCAGATTTTTTAGTTTTCTGGGATTATTTTGCAACTTTCTGATGTGGAGCATCAAGTCTCCTCTGTACGGAAGTCTCGATGTGCCACAACTTAAATAAGTTGAGTTAATTTAAAAAATAAAAAAATAAAAAAATAGATTAATGCTTTATTTAAATAAATCTAAAAAAGTAAAATATTTTAAGTGGACATTTAAGTAAAGATGTGATTAGTAAGTGTTTCATTTTCAAGAAGAATTAAAGTGGTTAATGTCCGAAAAAAATTAAAAAAATCCAAAATATTTAGACTAATCTCAGGAATTTTGTAGAAAAAAAGCAAAGACATTTATGAGCTCCAAAAATAAAAAGTTTTTTGAGAATTTTTTCTAGAAATGTTGTGAATGATCTCATTTCTTTGCATTTTATTGTTGAGAAAAAATAAAAACATCTCTGAGATCCAAAAGTTGAAAATTTGTGAGAAAAACAAAACTCAGAAATGTTGAGAATAATCTCAGAAAATAATAAAAAAAAAAAATTCAAGTTTCAAGTTTTGGAAATTAAATGAATTTTATAAGTAAAAAAAAAATCACAGATTAGTCTATAAATTTCTGACTTACTTCTATCCAAGTTTTGACTTTTACAGCTCAGAAATTTCGTGGAGGTTTCTGGAAAATTGACGATATTAATCTCAGCATATTTGAGTTTTTTTGGCAGAAATTTAAATCCTTTTCTTGCCATTTACAATGGCCTTAATACGCTGTTCCCATGGCAACACACACAGGGATAAGAATCAGTTATTAAAGTCTGTTTAATTTTTATTTTTTATTTTTGTGAACAAATAAAAACATACCAGCAAAGTGAGATTGTTCCTTTTTATTTTATCTATGACCAAGCTCTACCATTTGTTTTATGTAAACTTCACTAAATCATACAAACATGTACCCAACCTGTGTGAAATGCTTAAACCGACCATTGATATTGGTTGGTTTTGGATAATTCCTCCATGTTCTCGTCCTTTTTTTTAAGATGGAGACCAATAAATAATAACTTTTTTCACCCAGCTCTTTGTTCCCAACTGACTCTGTTTACAGCTGCTCAGAAACGTCACTGTTTTAAAACAACCAAGAAATCTCCGTCTTGTTGTGTTGTTCTGGATTTCCTCCACTTTGGCGGACAGGAACTTGGCTGACGTACAGCCTTTATGCAGACGGAGGGGAATAATGACAGCTGTGAGCTGCAGATGGATTCGTTTAACGTGAAACGGGAACTAAATCTTTCTCAAGGGAGAAGGTGAAAACCCAGAAGAAAACAGGAAGTTTTAAACGGGAACAACTATTCAAAATTCATATTTTGCACATTTTTTGTACTTCCATTTAGGTTTCTACTGATATAAAAACAGATCAAGCCGTTTTTGGCGGGCAATAAGTTAATGTTTTTGGTGACGAGGCATTTCAAATTAAGAAGCGCTGCGCCGTTACCTAGCAACCCAGGCAGAGTTTTAATGTTACCTAGCAACCAAAGCGAAGCGCTAGCGTTTGGTCGACTGGTTTCACCGCTTTATGCGCTCAAAATGGCTGCTGGAAAGGTGAAGTGTTTTGTTTTTGACTTGCCATCAAGAAACTACTTGATGTGTTTTTTGTTTGCAGCCATTTTCACGTGCGAGTTGAGTTGGGGGCGTGGCCAATGGCAGCAGCTAAATTTGGATTTAAAGTGACAAGAGGCCCTACAAATAAACAGGCAAAAAATTATCAGATTGAAATTTAATAATCTAAGAATGATTGTGTTAAAAAAAGAAGAAAAAAAGAGTAATGAACCTGTTTTGGAAGCAATAATAGAATAAGATATACTAAAAAGTAAATAGTTTCATTTTATAAATATATAAATAAATCATTTTATAAATAAATAAATAAATAAATAATAATAATAATAATAATAATAATAATAATAATAATAATAATAATAATAATAGTAATAATAATAATAATAATAATAATAATTATTATTATTATTATTATTATTATTATTTACATAGAACCTTTTTCAAATCAAATTTACTTACATAGCACATTGAAGAACAACTGCCTTTGGCATTTTTAAACAAATGTTACAAAATGTTTTATATTAGAACATTTAAATTAAACATCATAAATGACACAAGAATCACAAAGGACATACCAAAACAATTAAAATACACAACAATGTAAGACAAAGTGAAATAATAAAAACACAAAAGAAATTCAAATATTAATATTTTTTTAAAATTAAAGTTAATTTTAGTTCGTCATTTAAATGAAGAACAAGAAATAAACTAATGACATCAAGTAAAAATCTGTTCTTCCATTTAAAGCCACCAGTTCACACCTCTGCCTCTGGGTGGCGCTACAGAACAGTACAAATCATTACCTCCTCTGTTAAACTCTATATCCTTAAAATGCAAATTATTATTACTTTTCTTCATACTTTTAATTTTTTTTTAATTGGAACATTTTGCCTTTTTGATGTTAATTTTAACCATTTCCCACCATTTTTAGCTTTTCTTAAAATCTGTTTTCAGAGTTTTGCAGTAGAGAAAGAAAAGAGTCATTAATTTAATCACACATTAATATATCTGGTTCCTGTTCTGCATACTTTCAGCCCCATTTCACAAACAAAACAAAGTCAACATGAGTTGCACCAGATCAGTTTGTAGGGCTTTCTGTTACACAAGCAAACATGTTTCCATTTAAATAGAAAAAAAGCATCTTGTGAAGAACTGAGCAGATGTTGTGTTGACTCAAAGTGAAACTGAACATTTGTGTGTTAAAGTGCAGGCAGTCGCAGCACTGAGAAATCCAGCGTTTATATAAAGAAAGTCCAACAGCTCTGTGAGAATCTATTTTTAGACAATGTCATGTGAATCAGATGGAGAACAAGCAATGAGGGAATTTTAACGTCCAAGAAACAGAAACGACTGAAAGCTGAAGGAAAACTCACAGCAGCTCCATTGTTACCAGTCATTAAACAGCATGTTGCAACATAAACATTTTTCAGTGCAGATTATTCACTTCCAGACAAAATAAAGTTTTATTAGATCGTAAAGTTCTGACCACAAGCAGGTAAACTGTCTCCTGTCAGAAGGTGGGACGTTTAAAACAGCAGCATGGCATCGTCAAAGCATCTCATGATGGTCCCAGTCCGCAGGCGGCCATGGCCTGCCAAAGGCGGTCCGAAAAGGAAACTGGAGAACAAGAGGTGGGATAATGGCTCCTTGGACCAGGCAACAATAAAGGAAGATTGTCTGGTTGTCTGGCGGATGTTCAAACCGTCTATGTGTTTCACATGGAAAGGACATGAAACCACAGTAGAATGGACAACAGGTTTAGATCATGGTTTGCTTTGGAAGCCTACCAACTAACCAACCAACCAATGGACCAACCAACCAATGAACCAACCAACCAACCAACCAACCAACCAACCAACCAACCAACCAACCAACCAATGGACCAGCCAGTGGACCAACCAATGGACCAACCAATGGACCAACCAATGGACCAACTGACTGACTGACCAAATTCAATTCAAAAATACTTTATTGCTCCAAAAGGTTAATTAAATTAAATCAACCATTCAACCAATTGACTGACCGTCCAACTGTCTAACCAACCAACCAACTGACAAACCAACCAACCAAACTACTGGCCAACCAAATGTATGTTTTGACTATGGCAGCCTTGAACAACATCCCATTTGCAATGCAACGGAAAAAAAACAACAACTAACCAACCATCTAACTGACCGACCAATCAACCAACTTTCTGTTTATCTGGACTGTGGCAGCCTTGAACAATGTCCTTATACTCGCCCGAAGTGTTTCCCATCCAGCCAACCAACCTTCTTTGATTCTTGACTTTGCACATCCTCATTACTGTCCTTCGGTGCTTCTAAAACTCAACACTTTCACAAGAAAATAGCTGCACTGGCCCTTTAAGAAGAGGCGACAGCATGCATAAAGCCAGATGTTTGTGTTCCTGCCTTTCATAGAAAGCTGCTTTGGGTTTCTGCAGAGCTTTGTGTCGTTCATTGCTCCTCCAGGCTGACTCAGAGCTCCGGTCATCTGCGGTGACGCTGCACAGCTCTGGCTCCTGTTTGTCAGCAGCCTCTCACAGGAAATGAGCTGCAAGCCAGACAGTGAAAACCTGATCCAGTCACTTTTCAGACCCACAAACAAAGACACATTTCTTTCTCTTGCCGCTCCTCCACCACTGAACTCCAGTCGCACTAATCCAAACCAATCCGGCTCTTTTCTCAGTTCTTGTTTTGATCCAGAGAGACGAGGATTTGCTGGCTCTTAACCCTGCGACTCTTGTTCAACCTGTTTCAAAACAACTTGTTTTATTAGGCCATCTGCAGTCGGTCCGTCCAGCTGGAAAAACGCAGCGGTGATCCCACTGACCCGGGTCGCTCCACTCCGTCCCGTTCCTCCTTCATCTTTCTGCTAAAGGACTTTCTCTGAATGTCACAGCAGGAGTTCGCTGTAAATCACTTTATAAATACGGATTTTCCCCCGCAGACGGAGTGAGGCGCTCGCAGCAGACTGGAGGTTTTCCAGCAGCATCCAGCTGCCGCGGCACATCATGTTTTTACCAGCAGGTGCAGAACAGGCCGCAAAATGTTATGCAACAACAACAACGCTTAATTCTTTATTAGCACGACATCACCAGACTTCTGGTCATTTCCTTCGACTGGCATGGACGAATAACCTGGAGGAAAATAACTTTATGGCATTAAAAATCGTACAAAACAAAATAAAAGCTAATTATGTGAGACGTTTAAGTTTAAAATCATTTTTGCCAGTTCATTTTTTAGAAAATAGTCCAGCCTCTTCGTCTTTATTTTTCCTTTGACTTTGATTTTGTCATCAGAGCTTTTCGAAGAAATTAGCACAACTTTTTATTTATATAAAAAAAATGCAATATCTGAAGTTAATGTTACTGTTTTTTTTTTTTTTTTAGAAAAAGTTTGTTCACTGGAACAAACTTAGTTTTATTTTGGTATTTGTTTTCATTTTATTTTGTTCTAAATGGTATGGACTACGTATTTTTGTCTCGAAATAAAATATTTTCAGTATTTACTGTTCCAAAAAATACAAAATCAAAATTTTACGTTAATATTTTTTTTGAAAATATTTCGAATTCTTCATCTTCAACTTTGATTTTAATTAATGCTGCATTCACTGAAACACAGAAAAATTAAACTGCAGACTCAATTCTTTCCAACTATTTTCTTTCGTTTGTTGAGAAAAATTGGCAACATTTTATAGCAGAAGGGATCCAAAGGCGAATAGATGAGCAAACCGACTTTATTACATTGTAAGGAAAAGATAAGATGCTGGAAAAAACTGAAAATTCAGAAACAAAGATCCTAAATTAGAATCTCGAAACAGGATGCAACAAAAATAATCAAAAAACAAAACAGCTAGAGCGGATTTGACTTGAAGCAGATTGAAAAGATTAACTGGACTGAGTTAATTTCAGGAAACCAAACAAACTGAGAAATCAGGGAACTAATAAATCATCCATTCATCCACTGCATGCAGTGGTAAATGGGTGAGGTGTGAATAAGCACAGAGTTATATTTAAAAATGGAGCAAATAAAAATAAAGCTGGTAATATTTTGTTAAAATGGACCTGAACCTTCAGAGACACAAAGACGGTTACAAAGTTGGCCTTCTATCACCTGAAGAACATTTCAAGATTTAGAGGATGAATGAAATCTAGAGAAACTCATCTGTGTTTATCTTTAGTAAAGTAACACGTCTGTTAGTTTACAAACAAGCTTCCAGAAAACTGCAAAACAGCCGAAACACTGAGTTCCTTCAAATCAAGGTTAAAACTTACACCGTTTATACAATTGCTGTTGAAATAAATTAATGGAAAATTGACCATTTTGATATTTATTGATGATGTTGATGGTACTTTTGAACAAATTTGTTCTGTCATGTTAATATCTTAGAGTATTTTCTACAATTTCAACAAAATAATTCTCAGGAAAAATCCACAAAATGCCTAAAGATGAGACATTTTATGATATATAAAATTTAGATAAAGTATCAGTATTGATGATGCTGATTCCATATCTAGTTAGTATTCAACCAAAATATAAAATATTGCACACCTCTAGTAAAATTATGACACCCAGTCACAGCAGCAAAGAACATGGGCAAATATTTCAAAATATAGAGCAAAAAATCAACTAAAGCTTCACAAGCAGAGCAGGAATGAATGCGCTCCTCTACGTCACATGATTTATGTTTCTGTTAAATTGTTTTTCAGAAGTCGTCGGAGTGGATTTGTGCAGGATGGGATACATGTGATCAATAAAACCCAGTACTAGTGAGCAGGTCTGACAACATTTTCTGCAGTAAAATTCGTATTGATGTCGTACCTTAGAAGTCATGCAAAGAATTGAGCTTTAAGGTTAATACATTATGGAAGGTAAATAAAAGCTGAAAACTATTGGAAATATGGTCAAGCTTGAGTTAACAGAAGCAATGTTTTTCAGTAAATCTAAAAAAAGGATGAATTCATGTAAAAATTACAATAAAAGTCCAATGACTGGTCAGAGATTTCTACTAACTGACAGAAAATATAAAATATTCCAACCATTTATCCACATCTTTCAGCAGCTGCAGCCTAATTTTCTGTTTTTTCAGTCTGTAGATGAGAACTTTTTATAGCGCAGCAGATAACTGAATATTTTAGAAAAAAATTTCACATGTGGATACAAGAACCAAACTGGGCACAAAATTCAAAATGGCCACCATCATCTTCGTCAATGAAAATTTACTTTTGCACTAAATCTGCTGATATTTATCACAGATAAATGATTTTGGTGTCAAATCATGCATAATTGGACCCATAGAAATCACATTTCCTCATATTTTTATTTTTCAAAATGGCTACCAAGATTGTCATGGAAAATTAATGTTTGCAATAAAATTGCCAATTAGATAAATATATTTGGTGTCAAATTTAAACATTTGAAATCATTTGTATTTTCTTGATCTTGTGCTTTGTTTTCTGGTGGACATTTTTCAAAATGGCCGCCATGGTTGTAATGGAGAAAATGTCTGCACTAAAATCGGCAGTAGTTTTTGGCAGTAGCAGGCACAGCTATCTAAAAGTTAGGCTCACAAACCACTAATTCGCTGAAAAGATGCTTAGCTACGCTAATGCTAAACTGCTAAAGACATAAAACATTTTCAGAAGGTAAAGCTGAACATAAAAATGTCTGGAAGCTAACACTACACTGCTAAAGATAAAACAATTAGCTGAAGCTAAAGCTAAACATAAAAATGTCTGGAAGCTAACACTATACAGTGTTAGCTTCCACACTGTGTAGGCTAACATAAGGCTAATATAAAAAAATTCCCAGAAGCTAATACTACGCTGCTAAAAACAAATCATGGGAAGCTAACGCTAAGCTGTGAAACACATAAAGTAGCGGAGGCTAATGCTAACCATTAAGACAACTAACTGTAAGTATGTGTTGCAAATCTACATCTTTTTCTAGTTGACTGAGATTTACAAACAGCAAGAACTGTAACAAAGTTACAATAATACCAGAAAAGAGTCAGAATATTTCAAGAAAAAAAGGACGTAATATTATGAGAATAAAGCTGAAATATTTTGAGAATAAATTAATGATATTTCTAGAATAGAGTCATGATGTTGTGAGAATGAAGTCAAAACACTTTGACTTTATTCTCACATTATGGCTTTAATCTCTTGGTGGTGTGGCCCTAATACTCTTTCGTAGAAAAAAACCCTCAAAAACGGCGGCCATCTTGAAAAATGGCAGTGATGCTAATGGGAAATATGAGAAACATGCAACCTGAGCTTGCTAATGTTTGTGCTTGTATCCACATGTGAAATATTTTCTCGGTAACATTCTGCTCCTTCAGTACACGAACGTGACGAGCGTCTGCTGTGACGCTTCTGAGGAGTTTTCCTTGGACTCCAGTGGGAAAACCAGGTGTGGGAAGAACTGGGAGAAGGTGTGAAGCGGCGGCCCGATGATGCTGTACGCCTTCAGAGCCGACAGTCCGTTCAGAATGCCGACGTCGACGAAGCTCATGTGGTGGGAAGTGGAGGAGTCCGGCTCCGGCGCCGCCCCGGCTGACGGTAAAACCCTGATTTCCTGGTCGGGGTACGGTGCTCCGGGGGCGGCGCTGTGAATGCTGAGGGTCCGCAGCCCGAGCAGAACCAGTTGCTGGCTCTGCAGCGGCTCTACGCCGCAGAACGACAACCGCAGATGAGCGACGGCGCTGCTGTTGAGCAGCTCCTCCAGCACCCACAGCTCGCTCACCCACACCGCCACAGTCCGCCCGAGGCTGGCGCGGTCCAGGGCCGACCGCGGGACGGTGCTGCAGCGGCACCGGGAGTCGGCCTGGGCCGCGTCGCAGTCCGGGACCGGAGCCAGGCAGCTGCAGGTCCGCAGGCCGGCGCCGCTGTCGAATAGCAGCGTGGCGTTCGCCGCTTCAGGGGCGGAGAGCATCGGCTGGCAGTCAGAGGTCAGTGCGAACATCAACCACAGCGACCATGGCAACAAGGCAGAGCGCGCCGCGTTTGGAGGCATCTCCATGGAAACCGAGCTGACTACATCTTCACCGGCTGGAAGGTCGAACTGCAAAATGAAAAAACAAAGTGACCAATTTAAGGAGGGTTCAGTGTGGCCACTGAAGACAGAAAAAAGGAATAAAGTTGCACCAAAACACTCGGAAATTTTTAGATTCATCTCAGAATTTTTTTTTAGAAAAAGTACAGTTATTCTTCTTGGAAAAAACATGGAAAACAAATGATTAAAATTTACTTAAAAAAAAAAAGCTGAAGAACTTGCAAGAAAAAACTCGAACTTTCTACAACACTTGGAAGAGTCCAAAATTTGCTACAAAACATTCAGAGAACTTTAGAGAAATCATGGACACGGAAATTTCTGAAAGCAGCAAAAGTTGATGCAAACGAGTCAGAAAATTTCTAAATGTTTTTTCAAGAAAATTTCTGAGATTAATCTCAAATTTTCAGCTTTCAGATTTTTTTTGTGGAAACTTACTCTTAAAAAAAACAACAAAAAAACAACAACCTAAAAACAAAAAACAAAATGTCTGCGGTCCAAAAGTAAAACAATTGTGAGAAGAAATAGATTCTACAAAAAGCTTGGAAAAGCCCAAAATTTGCTACAAAACACTTAAAAATGTTCAAGAAAACACTTGGAATTTTCTGAATTTTAGTAATTTTATGAATTTCAACACTAACTGTTTAGTTTGGAAATAAATAGAGGAAGTGGAGCCTCCTGCACACCAAAAAGAATGCATTAAGAGGTATCCGGATGGTAAATCAACAATAGAACCTCTATCTTTTCCAGCAGCCATTGTGCAGTGCATGCAGAATTAAAACCATCTGACCAAACGAGCTCAGCTTTGGTTGCTAGGTGATGGGTGAAGTTTTGCTAGGGTTGCTAGGTAACAGTTTGGTTTGGTGAGGGGAAGTTCCTGGTGATTTGTGACTTTACATTCAGGAGGTTTTTCAAACTGCTCGTTTTCCAGACACCAAAAAACATGAACTTATTTAGAAAAAACATCTGGGTGTTTATTTTTAAGCACTTTTGCTGTTTTTAGAAGCAGACCCAAATGGAAGAACAAAAACCTGCAAAATGTGAATTTTACATCATATTTGCCCTTTAGAGTCTAAGAAAGGAGCTTTTTGTAACCTACAACAGCTTCCAGGCTGAACTTTACAACATGTGGACGCCAGCTCCAGCTGAACGTTTCTTCTTTTTTATTTCTCATCCAGCTCCGGCCCTCCATTTCACACATGCACACACACGTGCACACATAATTGAGCCACTTATTTGATTTTAATGGAGACCAGGCCGAGTTGCTGCCGCTGGCATGAGCTGGTGTGCCACGCTGCACATCGGCCAGCCACATTAACTAAAACACAGGCTTCATTCAGGAAGAGCGAGCGGAAAAGTGGAAAAGCGACGCTTACTTTTCCATACTCTCTTTCTGTGAGCGGAGAACTTTCCAGACTTATTGTTTATCCAACTTTCCTTGACTCTTTAGGATGATCTGATGTTTTCCTGTTTCATGAATGTATGTTTTCTCCTGGTACAGACATTTTGATGCATGAAAAATTCATTAAAAAGTTTTGATAATAAATGTATCGTTTTTGAGTGGATGTTGACGTGTCCACCTAAACAAATCAAAAATATATCATAACAACTTCAACTTCACATCCTGATGCCTTCACTGAACCCCTGAAATTGGATATTTGGGGTGAAAATCTAACCAAAAAAAGTGACATGCCAGAAATTTCACTCCAACGTCAGAGAAATGAGAATAAAACCGAACTCAGACTCTACAGTTCCCGGTTAGAACATTAAATGTTAATGCTTCTGGCAGAACAATGTAAAACTTTAACTTGTTTAAAAGGCTGTCGTTTCAACATGGCGACATGAGTTAGGTCTGCCAATAGACTTTTAGAATAACAAGGTTTGGCCAGAAAAGGCCCATACACTGCAAAAACACCAAGTATTTTTGGTCTAGTTTCTAGTAGAAACATCACAGCGAACTTAAAAGAAGACAAAACTAACTTATAGGCAACTTTCTTGCAAGATATGGGAGCTTTTTTTAGAACATAGTTTACATTTTCAAAGCAAAAAAAGCTGAAATCCTACTTGACATCCTATTGGCTGGGATTTCCGAAGCAGTCAATTATTCGGCCAATCAGCTGGGACGCTGCTAAGGCCTATTGCATCTCTGTTTCTTATTATGCTTCCACTAAATGAATTGTTTTCTTGGCGGTCTAGACATTCATGCAAACTCACAGAATTTAATTTTAGCCTCTGTATTCATCAAACTCCTCGTAGAGGTTTTGACCGATTGCTTTGAAAATTGTTGCGTTTGCTTCTGAGGCATAGAGGATATAAAGTTATCAAAATCCTGACTTTTCATGCTTGCTAGAGGGGCGTGGCTGGACCTCAAACTTTGACTACGCTCCAAAAACGCAACAGTTGTTATAACTCTGACAAGGAAAGTAAAACAGGCACAAAACCGACTGTGACTGGCCTTCATCTCATCCCTAATAAAACTGCATGGTCAAATGCTGACATCAGGCTGTGGTCCCTGAACCCCATGAAGACCAGGGACCCGGTTTACCCACATTCCAGATTCTGAACATGTTAATATCTTGTGTTCAAGAAATGTCATCAAGAAGACAATGAGGAAGAGTTTAAATGTACGGATGTCTTCTTGGTGCCTTGGTTAGCTCCCGTCAGTCTCCATGGTTCCCAACTGGAAAAGCAGAGGAATGCTGCCTTCAGGTCTGGGACGAGTCTCTGCCTCCAGTGGAGGAGTTCACATTTATGGCATCTTTAGAACGGAGCAGAACGGAGGGACAGAGGAGATACACCTCTGCAATGACAAAGCAATTGCTCCAGTTTATGATGAAATCCTGGATACAGTCAGATGAAATTAGATTTCTTTAGTTTTTTAAGAATATGTGCAACTAAGAGCAGATCCAGAACTTTGTTTTTACGTTCCCTGTTGGTTCAGAAACCACTTGGAATACCAAAGTAAGAGCTAATGCTTTCTGTACTTTTATTGCAGTATTTTCTGAACTACTTTATCATTTTATTAAACTTAATTTTATTTCTTATTTTACCATACATATCTATGATAATGTAATTATTGTGAAGCACTTTGGTCAGCTCAGGTTGTTGTAAAAGTGGTATATAAATAAACTTTAACATGACAAGACAAAGTTTCATTCATAGTTTGGCCGTTCCTGCGACTCATTTGTTTTTTTCTACTTTATGATGCATTCTTTGACTGATGCGTTAAAGGAGACCTATTATGCAAAATTCACATTTTCACGTTTTTATGCTTCTCTTCAGGTCTCCTCTGTTTCTTAAAAAAAACAACAAAAAAACAGTACTTAATTAAAAACATCTCACCATTTTTTGGCAACAAGTTCATGTTTTTTGGTGTCTGGACAATGAACCGTTTCAAAAACCTCCTGAACATTGAGTCACATTCAGTAGGCACTCTACCGTTACCTAGCAACACCAGCTAAGGCCAGCATGTCACCTAGCAACCCAAGTGGAGCTCCAGCAAGTTTGGTTAGCTGGTTTTACTGCTCAATGTAGGAAAAAACAACTGTTTTGTTGTTGACTTACCATCCAGAAACCATTTGCTGCATTCTTGTTGGTTGTGCATAAGGCTCTACTTCTGCTTTTCATAGATATAGGGTTGTATAATTGTGCATTTGTGGCCATTTTCACTTGCGAATGTAAATGATAAGTTGGGAGGGCGTGGCCAGCGGCAGATTATTTGGATTGAAAGTGACAAGATTCCCTAAAACAGGGAAGAAAATCTCACTATCTGAGAATGATTTGTCTAAAAAATGCAATGAACATGTTTTCTTTAGACCAGAAACCTATGCTAACCTGTTGAAGGAAGCATCATAGGTCACCTATATAAAGCAGAAAACTAAACACAACTTCTCACTAAACCTATCAATACATAGTTCTCGCAAGTCTGAACAGGAAGCGATCTGCACCACTGAACCCTTAGCTAGCAGACAAAAGCTACATTAGCTAAGCTAATTTAGCTAGTTTGACAGTAAGTACTACAATAAATATCTCTGATATTTATCTCAGAATTACACAGAGAATAAGGGTAGAAAACTCAAAAACTGTAATGGAGTAATAGTTGTAATGTACTTATCTTGTTTTTATGTTAGACAGGAACGAGGGGAGAGCTAGTTCCAGGATTGTGGCTTGTTTATTGTTGCCATAGCAACTCCATAGCAACCGCCTGCCAAGCTGGCCATCCATTACAAAGTTTCAGGAACTGTGAAGGCACACGAGAACTAGAGCTCCCTCATGTTTGACAATTTCTAAACAAATGTGATTTATAGTCCAGAAAATACAGCAAGTCTTTACAGAGTTAGCTTTCAACAAGAACGTTTTCTCAGATGACTGACAGAGAGGAGTTTTAGCAGAAGGGGTTAAGAAGGAAGTGAAATGCCTGACTTGAGACTAAATTAAAGCTTGCCATCTAATTCCCAGATCTGGAAGCATGATGCGGCCTCCATAAATAAGTGTGACCTCAGTGAGGTTGGTTTACAGAAGCAGCTGCCCTCCACGCAGCCATCTTACCTCACTGCTGATGTTAGTCATCGTCTCTCCAGCTGCTGCTGGGGCCGAGCTTTCCCACACACCATGTCAGTCATTATCCTTCACTCTGCATCTGTTCCTGCTGTCTCCACCACCATCATCATCATCATCATCTTTCCTTTCTCTGTGCTTCAACCAAACGGATGCTAACCGACCATGTTTTAGTGAGAATCCGGATTCGTTTACTCCACTCCGTACCGGTTTAGTTTTAAAGAAACCGACGTTTTCCAGGCTGGTAAAGATTAGTCGCACATCAGACGCAGATGGAAAACGGAGGAATAAAGAGTTAATTAGGCCGTGATGTGGCCGGCTCTCCACACGCTCTCGGCTTGTTAAAGGCGAGGCTCGATGCATTCCTGTGACATCATGCTGCGCCGCAGCCACCCACCCTAATCCTCCTGTCCTCTTTGTCATTCTCAGCACCTCCGCTCCACCGTTTCTCATCCGTCTTCACACCGAGCCATCCCCGCCACGCTGGTGTCAATAGCTGCGTTTCCGTAACAACTCTGTGCAAAATATATGACCACATATCACTGATGTCGAAAAAAACAACACCATTTCGTAATTGCGGTGTTCTCATCAAATAAGAAATGCAATTAAAACCAGTCCTGGATAAGTTAAAAAACATCCCACACCGAGTTCCTCCTACTTCCTGTTTTCTTCTTTGTTGTTTCCGCCAGCAGTAACAACCAGTTGTTTTGACTGTGGGATGCAAATGTAAGTGTTTCCATTGCAGTTTTTAGTTGATTCATTAGTGATCAAAAGAACCTTTTGTAAAGTGATGATGATGATGGTGCATACCGTTCTCTTTCTGGCCCAATCCTTTGGTTCAGACCCAAAGTCAGTGAATGATTTCTGCATCACATTTTGAACTGATTCTTGGTTCTGAACAAAGTATTGCTCTGAACAGATTCCCAAATCTGAAGAAAGTCCTGAACAGATTCCTGATTCTGAAACCGATTCCTGAACCATGTATTGTCTCAAAATCAATTATTTTATTCTCTTACAACTTTGAACAGATTCTTGAATTGGTTCAACTCTGAACCAGTTCTTTTTCTGAACTGGTTCCTCATAAAAGGTGTTTTCTGAGCATTTTTCACTGCTTTCCTTTGGATTTTCTCAGATTTTCACTCATTTTCACCACAGTTCTTGTTTATGAACACTTTTTTTTAGTTACATAACTTTGACTTTTGACTCATTCCTGCAGAAAAAAAGACTCAGATGAATCAGCAGATGAACCAGTGACAGAGTCGACAAATTAGTAAGACTAAAACTTTTTAGTTTTTTATTAGCTGACCTCATTTATTTCCACTTTTAAAGTTGCAGCTGCAGGAAATGATTCTTTGACAAAGAACAGTTCTGTTTCCTAAAATACACAAAGCTCTGATTGTACTTTCAGAATAAAAGCAACTCTTTTTTAATGCAGTTACAGTAAAAAAATAGGAATTTTTGCAGTTAAGGTATTCTCTAACCTCTTCTAATCCAAAAACCACAAAAATCAGTTTAAAATCAACAGATGTCATAATTCTGGTCTAGTTCAGTGCAAAAATCTTAGACTACTTGAAATAAGACAAAACTAACTTATGTAACTTTTTTGCAAGATATAGGGGCTCGCTTTAAGTCAATGATTTAATTTAAAAGTACTGGTTCCACTGGCAGATTGTAGGAAAATGTTTTGTTATAAGTGGAATAATCTACCAGTGCAACTAAAACGACAAAAAAAAATGCTTAATTAGTATTAAAGGATTTTTAACTTAAAACAAGCTTCTATATGTTGCTGAAAAGTAACTTGTAAGTTAGTTTTGCCGTATTTCTATTGTACGAGGATATTTGCACTAGAAACTAGACCAAAAATACTTGGAAATATTTTTACAGTGTAGGAAACCTTTTCTCCATTCTATACTCCAATAACACCAAATCTTACTAAATATTTTTGGTCTAGTTTAGTGCAAATATCTTAGTTGATGAGAAATAGGACAAAACTAAGTTATGTAACTTTTCTGCAAGCTGCAGGGGCTTGTTTTAAGTCTTGAATATTGATGAAAAATGACTAGTTACCCTGGCAGATTTGTTCACTTTTAATAAAACATTTTCTTCAAATTTTATAAGTGCAATAATCTTCTAATGAGTTTAGTAATTTTTCATCGATATTAAGGAATTATTGACTAAAAAAGCTCCTATTTCTTGCTGAAAAGTTACTTTTACGTTAGTTTTGTCTCGTTTAAAGTGACCTGAGATGTTTTCAGTTGAAACTAGACCAAAAGTACTTGTTAATATTTTGTGTTTTTGCAGTGCAAGTTTGTAAAACTCACTGTGTTGGGTTGGCGGCTGCAGCCGTCTGCTTCCAGGCTGATCTATCCGGCTTCCTCTGGCGCTGAGAGAAGTTTCCACATCTGTCCAGATCCCGGCTGGAGAAAGTCACTGCAAACGCAAACAGAGGAGCCGTTCATGCCAAGGAAACGGGAACGAGACAGAGAGCGGAGGAAGAGGTTTTACTTTGTGAAGCAGGGATGGAAACATTCCTGACCACATGCGTCTGTACGGAAAGCTCTCGGTCCATTTTCTCTGCTGTCCCTCTCTGGGTTTTTTCCCCCCTTCTCTCCTCCTTCTCTCCTCCTCTTTTGGGAAACACCTCCCAGTGATTGTCTTCCTCCCACGCTCAGAGTTTCCTTTGAATGCCATCTGGTGGCAGGAAAATTATTACCGTGATAATTTCTGCACAGTTTTATGTATTCCATGTGAGTTTCCTGGACGAGGAGAAAGTGATCAAAAGGAGGAGGAATGTGATGAGATTATGTTCAGCTTTTCCCCAGGAATCATTCCTTCCCCCCCGGGGGGTTTTCCCCGAAATCCTCCATAAATCAGCAGAAAAACCCAGAAGGAGCATATAAACACGTCCCGGGTGTCAAAGAAAGAAGATGGAAAGCAGGAGATGCTCAGATGCTACAATGAATTAAAATCCAAGACTTACTGCTCTAAAGGAAGAAAGTTCAAATCCCAGAAGTATCTCTGCATGATCTCCCAGTGCAAAAGCTCTTTCTGGGTGCTACATAATAATATTATGCAATAATAGCTTTCAGTGGTTTAGTTATTATAACATATGAAAATGTCGTCTTTTTTTGTTCTGTTTTTGCAGGTGTAGAAACTACGATGGCATATGAAGGCTATTGTAGATTTAAAAAAAAAATGGAGGAGTAAATTTCTGCCAAAAATCTCTGAAATTTTCAAGAAGAAACATACATTTCTGGGTTCCAAAAGTTGAAAGTTTCTGACTTATGAAACTCAAAAAATTTCCAAGTCGAATATTTTTGACTTTTGAAATTCTGAAATTTTTTAGTTTTTTCTCAAAAAATTCTAATTTTAATCAAAAAATTCCTGAGTTCTTTTTCTTGCAAATTTTGGAATTTTCTAGAAAAAACAAGAAAATTTATGAGTTTGAAAAGTAAAAAATTTGTGGGAAAACTCAGAAAGTTTTCGACTTTTGAAATTCAGAAATTTTCAGTTTTCTTCGCAAGGATTATATTCTAACATGTCTTTTAGAAAAATATTGAAAAATATACTTTTTTAAATGCCATTTTCCACAAACATCCAATCGAAAGACAATGTATTCATCCTCACTACTTCTTTTTCTAACAGTCTCGTGTTTTTCTTAATAAAATAAACAAATAAAATGGCGAACCTTTAAAAATGTTAGTAACAGTAGTGGAACAGGAAGTACTTTTATTTTGTAATTACCGACCGGACATGGTCTTGTGATGTAGAAGCTAGTTTAGCAGCTACAGTCTGTCAGAGCCTGTTGGTTACTGGAAACAGTAACCAACAGTTTTGTGAAAATAAATCAAAATAAAAAACTTTGAAAATAAATCAACTTTGCTACGGCCAAAACGGCCTCGTCATCCTCGCGCTGAAGACTTCTTTCCAAAAACCATGAGTTTCTTTTTAAACTGTTTCCATGAAATTTAGCTTTGAAATGTCAAACTGTACAATTATGGTATCTGTTACCTTTGATTCATAGTAACTGTAAGACTGTTACAGTTACATAGTGACTGTAACAGTCTGTATTTTAAGTAATAAACAACTTAAAATATGGTTGACATATTTTAAGCTGTTTATTATTTTTTTTGACAAAATGTAATGTTTATTACTTGTTTCATCACTAATGACTGAATAAAGCACTTGAAGCTGGAATACACAAATACATTTGACTTAAAATGTTCAGAAAAACTCATGCACTTATTTGTAGAGCCTTTCAGCTCATTAATAAATTAATTTATTTGTGCAGGAATAAATAAATGTGGTGTGATTGTTAATTAGAGCCTCTGTAATAGTTTTAAACCAGGAGGGAAGTGAAAACATTCCCTGATTTGACCACATGAGGGCAGCATTGACCTGATAATTCCCCCGATCTCTCAGCAGGGGGTCTGTGTTTGGGGGTTTTACTCTCCTTTTAATAAAACAGCTACATTTCTGTGTTGCTTACACAAAACTAAATCCACTATGCTGATTTTTTCCACTAGTATTCACCTCCAAAAATGTTTATGTAAACTTATATTTAATAAGAGGGACGTAAAACCTCTCCAATAGTTCAGATGTTACTGTAGAAACTGAAATAAATCAAATTGAAAAGCCATCTTGTAAATACAGTCATTTATTCTGACTGTCTGGTTATCAATGTGATTCAAACAAATTCAAAACTACAATAAAAAGCATAAAAAATCTGATTTTTTTTTTTTTTACTGAATTATGGATTAAATCCAGGTTGTTCTTCAGTACAGGAGGGTCTGTTTGTGACACTGGTGAATTTGTTGATTAAGTTGGTTTACAACCTGGATTTAATCCATAATTCAGTAGTAGTGTTTTTTAAAATATATATCTGGGCTCTCAGTCTACACAAACATTACATTACACTGTAAAAACACAAAACCTTACCAAGTATATTTGGTTTAGTCTCTAGTGTGAATAATAAGTAACTTTTTAGGGCTTGTTTTAAATACTTCATAAATATTCAGAGAATATTTCAATTATAACATTGGAGATATATCTTGTTTTAAGTGAAATATTCTGCAAATGAAAATATTATTTAAAAAAATAAATAAATATTCAAGAATCATTGAAGTAAAACAAGCACCTGTAGTTTTCTGAAAGTAACTTGTAAGTTAGTTTTGTCTTATTTCAAGTGTACTAAGATATTGGCACTAAAAACTAGATCTAAAATACTCACTAAGATTTACAGTGCATGTATAATTTGTTTGTTGAAGTAAAACTATTAACCTTTTCAGCAATCCTCTTAAATAATATTAATCAAAAAAGGTATCAGATTTACTCCTCGTTTCTTGCTCTTGGTATAATTTACATGATTTTTGTTTAATTTGTCCTGATTTTGACTTTATTTACACTGAAAAACGAGAATCGAGATCCAACATTAAAAAAAGTTAATTTGTAGGGATGCACCAATATAAAAATTTGGGCTGATATTGATGTTAATATTGCTGCTATGGCCAATAATGACATTTACTATATGTACAGTACATATTTATTTCTTTACTATTTCTGGAAAAAAGCAACAAAATAAAAATAAATTTTGTTTTTTCATTTTGGCCCAGTTTTACAAAATGAACAGATAACATGTTAAAAAATGACTAATATCAGCTGATATTGATTAATGTGTTCCATGCTGAATTAAGTTTTTCAAACTTAATTTGATTACTTGTACCAAATTAACTCTTTTTTAAAGTTGGACCACTAGTTTTCTTTTTTCAGTGTAGATGAAATGAAAAAAAATTAAACAAAATGTTATATTTTAAAATTATCCAAGTTAATTATCCCTAAATTATAAATGATCTGAACCTAAACTGCTAATCAAAATGTAAACTTAACAGTTTACATGATGTTTAATTGGAATAATTTAGGCATTTAATGATTAAAAATGAATACTTTGAATGTATTTGAGCAGGTAACCAGTCAGGACTTTTCTGACCTGTCCGCAGATATCGGCTGACAGCCCTGAGCGGGTCGGAAGCCCGTTAGCTCCCGGTCGGGTAACCCGATCCGCCCTGCGAAAATGCAACAGTGT